CAGACACCACATCAATCACCGCACGGGTAGCCGCCTGGGAGGCGCAGACACCACGTAACGCGCGCGAAGTCGAGGCTCAAACTAGTCTTATTCGACAGAGCGTGAGAAAGCGCCGTGGGTCTTCTGCTAATTCACTTACTAAGCAGATCGCGCAGTTGAGTAAGGGGGCTCAGCAGATGGCACATAAGATGGTACTTTTGACAGAGAAAATAACCACCCTTCAAGAGGCTCTAGACGAATCAAACAAGCGTAAAAGCCGCAAGCGGCGATACGTACGGACAGAAGAGACTCTTACTGTAGGCGAGGTACAAGAAGTATTAGCTGAACAGGCGGGTAGTAGTCGTGGCGACGGTGAGAGTGCGTCGAAGAGGGTGCGAGGAGAGAGGCGGTGCGGGCGTTGCAAGCAGACTGGACATAACGCTCGTACCTGCGCAGTTGATATAGATAGTGCAAGTGATAGCAGCGATTCTAATAATGAATTTAGTATATTGTAATAGTTGATTGACTGTGATAAAAGTGCGTGATAACGTCTCGACGTCGACGCGCTGGTGGGGCGTGAGCGACTCGCTTGGGTGAGCGACTCGCTTGTGAACTACGTTAATGCTTTGGGTTCTCAATAAATTAAATACATACGAAGTTCTATGTAGAACGACATCTGCTAGAGGAATCAGTGGCTGTATATTTACTAAACGTCAGCTATAAAAGCAGCTTTAGTCTACACATATCTAGAAGTGGCACATCAAAGAAAGATAGGGTGTGGCGAGCATTTGACGGCATATGCAAGTGTTTCAAGCCCACCGCGAATCTTCTATCTGGATATTCATCGTAGTATGAGAGAGCAGCAGATTCATCATATCTCGGAGCTGACAAGACGACTAGCAGTATTCGGTATTCTTGTATTATTTTGATTTCTTCATTGCTTTCAATTTTGCACTATCGTTACGACGACGCAAATCACTCGGCTAGAGTGGAAACCCGCTATGTCCCATTACTGTGCTTGATTTCATAACACGAAGAAAATATCGTTTCCTATGATGATTTTTTTAACCCGCGAGAATAAGATCAATGTTGTATACTAGGGCTCTTGGAAGTTATGATTAATATTCTTATATTGCGAACCTACGTAGTGTACGGTTGGTCTCAACGTGTTGTCTGAATGAGATTGGTCCGACGACATGCCAAAACTGCCGACACCATCCATACCTACGTACGTACCTACTAGCCGGTATTGCTGGCTCACTGATCGGGGGAAGCATGTATCATAAGGATGCTGAGCAGGCTGAGCTAACTAGTCTAACCACCGCTATTTACAATCGAAGGGAAAGACCTGCATGACGTCCGTTAAGCACTACATACAGAAATGATTCTGACACCTTGAGATGTATGCATGGCTTTCTAGAAGTCTAGGCCCTTCTATGATAGCTGTTTTTATATACATACATAGTTGACGCGGGATATCAGAATTCGCTGCCGCTTGTTACAGGTTCGCAGCGTTTCGGATTTCCTTTGGAAGAACATCAATGGTGGTTGTTCCGACTTGCCTGGAGACTGTCTATGGAGGATATGTCCTACTTGCTGTATGTAAAACGTCTCTTAAAGATCTGGATTTCAACTGAGCATAGATACTCATGCAGTGAAGAGACTCTTATAAAACTTTATTGTGCGCCTGCAGTTGTCTCCAACATACGCAAGAATTATTGCTAGAACCAGATCTTGAACCGCTAGTAGATCTTTACCAAGAATATAATCATTAGCTCTTGTCAATGCTACGAGTACTGTGTGTTTAACCAAGACTTGGGCCACCCTAGCGACTGAACGACACAGGAGAATGCCGCTAGCACTTACAAAGGTAACCGAACATGTGATTGTGGGGTAGCGGCTATCAAGGCTGAACGAATACTTAGTGTCTGGATATAAACCAAGGACTTTTAATTTTGGCAATCAATCCACGTGAGACAGCTGCTTGGCTATCTGGGGAAGGAAGATTACCCGATGTCCACGTTTCACGATGGCTTGGATATGATGAAGTAATACGTATGAATTTCTGTCGGAATCAAGGACGCGTGATGATATCCTCCCACCTGTGACAAAACAACCCTGTTATGGCCGTTTCAGCCAAGCAATGTGTTCGCAGTGGGTGAGCCAGATATTATTATTATTATTATTCTAGTTTAACGTCCTTTTTCAGCCTGAAGGGCTATATAAGACGTATAAGGTTTTTAGGCCTACAAGTATCTAAGTAGGTTGTTTCTAGCTACAATATTTAGGAGGGGTTTTAACTAGATGAAGGTGAGGCTCGTAGCCTATTAGTTGGTAGGTAGGGGTGGGATAGGGTGGGGGAGGTGTATGGCTACCTATAACAGGTATTACTCCTTGTTTTCTATATTTCCCTTGTACCAGGCTTGTGTTCTAGCCTTTGTTTCTTAAATAAAAGTAATAGTTGCTTCTATACCCTCTTTTGTTTAAAAGAGGATAGGTAGTAATAGATTGCCTTCGCAGGCTTCTCCTAGTCCTTTCCTTTCCTCTTTATATAGATTACATCTAAATAGAATATAAGGTAGGTCTTGTATAGACCTATAGTTGCAGGGGCAACTATTAGAATCTACTTTCCCTCTCTTATATAGGTAGTCCCTTAGGTAATAGTGCCCTAGTTTAAGTTAGTAGAAAG